CATTTGATACAAAAATGACGGCTCATTGTTGTCATTGTGAAGGAGGCCACGGTGTGATAATGGAAATGGCTGTCTACTGACGTGAAATTGATCTGCACGTCGATCCACTGTTTCGACGACAGCTAACTGTTCTCTCAATACTATGGACTGCTGCTAGGTTGCGGTTCTGGTCAGCAGCTTAATGAACGTCGACCGCATGACTGTTGTCCTTGACTTGTGCTCACGGATACTCGCGGACAAGACGGATTAAGTTTCTGTAAGAAAGCTGTGACTACATCGAACGAGGATTTACGGAAGATGCAGACAGATTTGGAAAAATAATTCCTCTGATCAAACTAACCAACGTAATTCAGTTAATGAAACGGACTGTTTTTCTATACAGAAGATGAAATTTGTCCTTTATCATTCAGGCAGTTCAAATTTAGCTCTGAGTTTATAGTTTTAAAGTAGTTCCTCAGATTCGACGTTAAAGACAATGCGTTTCAAGTGGCTGTCATCTACTAGTTTTTTCTGTCGCTAAGCTGTTTTGGTTTTTATTTGTGCTGAAAATCAGCTCTTGACCCCACTATTGAAAATGACTTTCATTTGACATACACTAAGTTATAAATAAGATGAAAGTATTAAAAATGCCGTATAAATTCTTTGTGCTGCAGATGGAAATGTCTTAGCCGAAAACAGATTTTACTAACAAGCATTATAACCATGCAGTTGATACATATGATCACGTTCCTCTTTAAACTTGAAAATCGACCACAGTTGATAAATATCACACAATCCATAGTCTGTGCTTCTGAGTTCAGGTTCTGAGAAGTTCGTGACCAGTTTCGCCGGACAGTGTATAATCGACCATGAATGTCCGTTGGACTGCATTTGCGACGGCACGACAGTCGACTGCAGCAACCGGGGTTTGTCGCAGATCCCCACACAGCTCCCGATGTTCACCACGACTCTTTACCTGAACGACAACAAGATCGTGGAAATCAAGAACATGGGTCTGTTCGAGAAACTGCTGAACCTGAAGTCGTTGAACTTGAACAACAACTACATTACGAGGATCGAAAGCGAGGCTTTCCACGGCGCCGAAAATATGAAGGAGCTGTAAGTAGCTGATGTTATTCAAAAACTTTTATATTCAGACTTAACTCTTGAAACCTTGATCGTGTTTTTACCGAATTTATTGGTATTTATATAAAAATCGAAGTTTTCAGTTTCTCTCTGTCTCCCATTATGTCTTGGTAAACTTGACTACACTGCGTTCTCCTGACCTTGGCGATCCAAGAGGGTAAAATACGTTATGAATCTCCACTTTCTCAATGCAGATGGTTTTGGGTGTGACGTAAAATATTCCTTTGCTTACTCCCACGTTTCGGCTTCCGGTATAGAAGCACCATCTGAGAAATTTTTTTCAAGTGTCATGTTGTAAAAAATTTTCCTAATAATGGTTTTCTGTGCCGAAAGCTTAAACGTCGGATTAAAGTAAAGAACTACTTTACGTAACGTTCAGAACTATTTGCATTGGAAAAGTTGAAGTTTATATATAACCTTGGAGTGTATTTCAAAATGACAGCAAAAACACGTCTTTTTCTCTGCTTTTTTAACGTCATTCATTAAAGTTCTACCGGATCTTCCGTTTGCCTAACATGTGACCTGTTCATTCCCATTTGAGATTGTAAACAGCACAGATGAGAGATTTCGAAAACAGCAACAACAGGAATTGCACGTTTTGCTCATTATCACATTTAATCAGCAGCCATCAGGTGGGTCAAGGAGAATTGCAGTTCAATGAGCACTCGTATCAAACAGCATGGCCCTGTTTCTTGTCCATTTGAATCGATCACACCAGAACATCATGCCCCTATTGCTCGCAAGTCAGTGACTTCGGTTACCCATTTCTCGGTTGGCTGTATCGACTGAACATAGGATCATTTCATTGCACAATAGAATTAGCGAATGAGACATATTTTGTTTTTCTCTTGATTCGAGCCCAGTACATCCGAAGTTTGAAGCTGACCTCTTTACCACTGCCTCACCGCGCACTGATGCATTTCTGTATGTTTGTTGGAATTTAATAAGTACGGTATCTCAGTGGATTAAAAATATGAACACGTCTGTCAGTGATTATCTCCAGATTTTACCCTGCTTCATTGCTTCACAGTTTCAGGCTTTTTGCAAAGTATTCTTCGCTAAACAAAGTCCTCAAATCTAGTTTACCTTGACGTTTGATCTCGTTAAATCCCATGTTGTCGTTTGCTCTTCTCATCGAACTAGTAATTGTGGAGAAAAGTACACACAACACGAAAAATGAAGTATGCTGCTTCAGATTCTGCATTTCATACAGAAATTTCGCTTTTGCGTTAAAATAGGGTTTCTTATTTCATGAGTTTTACCAGTTTATCAGTTTTCCGGTCACTTCTCCAAATTCTCACGTCCCTTAGCGTCTATTAGCCTAGCAGGTCACGGCGGCATGATATTTTAGCAATTACTTTGAAATTATTTAGAGCAGTTAGTCAAAAAATAGCAGTAATTTCAAGTACACCAGAGTACGTTAATAACCGTTTAACCCTGTGATCTCTGGTTTCATGGATATGCTACGTTTTGGGTGTATTTTCTACAGTCTGTATTTTTGTCTTCATAAGTTCGTATTTTGTTCAACAAATGTTAAGTTGTCCCCTTTTTCCATTATTTATTGGCTTTAAGCACGAAAAATGTGCCTTTTATTCTGATGTTTCGGCTTCTTGCACAGAGCTCACATTCAGATTACAGCATTCTCATCTTGCAGAAAAATGTAAGAAGTGCTAGCTTCCGAAATATCATTGGCAAGGAGAAAGATGATGCTTCACTAATAAGATGATGCGGACTCAGAACCAGTAGATGACGGGTTCGAGTCCCGGTCGGGTCACCTTCCTTTCTTCTTTCGGAGCCTGAGAAATCAGTGGCACCCTGTGGTACGGAGAGAGGGCAGTAAACACTGTCACATAGCTGCTGTTTGTTCTGCGTTAAAATAAAACTCTTCTGCCTGATAACATGAAAGTAGAGCTTGGAAACAATGGCGGCAGAAATGGACCCGTTACGAAAATGGAAAGAAGACCGACATTCTGACGATTACAAACTTAGGTTCGTTTTGCTCCTGTTTAACCCAAGCGTTCAAATGTTAACAATGTTAAGCGCGTTGCCACATGCTACAAAACATGTTGGATGAGTTCTTTTAGTGTTAGCAAGTAACAACAATAAGTAATACTGTAATAAGTGCAATGGTAGGTAATAAGAATCCATCAATGGTTAATTAAAGTCTCGTTTTCAGAAAGCTGAGGAACAACCTGTTGACGGAAATCAACGAAAAGATGCTACATGGCTTGAGCCACTTGGAAAATCTGTAAGTGTATGATAACTTCCCCAAAATTTAATAAAATCGTGTAATGTACCCGTGTGTTGTCTTCTGACGTCTGTTTATGTTTGTTCGTTTGACGCTTTCGCATGCATTCGATGATGTTTCATTTTATTTGTAGCGATCTAATGGGCAACAAGCTGACATGTATCATGAATACTACTTTCCGTACGCTGTCTAATTTGCATTTTGTGTAAGTTATTTTTTTGTGTAATTTGCTTTCAGCCAACGCGTCGTGAAACGTTGTTGAAACTTGCTTATGCTTTGCATCATGACGTTTTATTTTACATTCGAAGCTTCATCATCCTTGTTAGAACTTGAATTCCATTCCGGATTTACAGAACATCCCTACGAGAATGATTTACTAAGTGACAACGTAAAACGTGAAATAGAAATAAGTGATTAATTGAGTGCATAAATGGACTAGCAGGGTGATAAGTTAGTAAGACTCCCGCCAAGCAGTCAAATGATTTGTTAAGTAGGTGCCTTTGTAAGCAAGAAAGCGAACAAGTATTTGTACGACAATTAGGAGAGTAAGCCAGTATATTACTAATTAGGGATACATGCCAAACGGAACGTATTGGTACAAAAGGATCAGTAAATAAAACAAAAAGTGCATGACTAGTTAAGTTAACAGTTTCGTAACCGTAAAATTTAAAGATTTATTTAAGTAAATGTTTACGTAGCAAGTTCATGAGTAATTCTAAATGTTTAGTCTCTATACCAACGAATGGATTTTAGCATTCTGATACCAAATGGCTGAAAGTTCTTTTATTAAACTAAGACAAGGCTAGCTCAAGATGATCTATAATTCATTAACCAGATTTACACGTTCAACAATGATCAAGAGCTAAGAGTACTCTTGGCTTGATTGATTGGAATTGATCCTGCAAGCTTTTGATTGTCTGGACCAAGAAATGTATTGGTCGTATCTGATGAGGATAATACAGGTGTCGACGACTGTTGCGGCACGTTAAAGGGGCAAGAAGGCGTTTAAATATTTTAAGAAGAGTCCTCTAATGTATCTGATGCCTGCTTCTCCATCAGGGCTTCAAAATCACTCCCTCAGAATGCTAGGAGGTAAATGAAGTTTGTCTTTGGTTTGAATT